TGGTATGACGTTTGAAGCATGTTGGATATGTATGGTACGCATATAAATCATGTTAAATTCATTTGATTGATTAGAAGTGCATGTGATATGCACGTGCAAGCATGCTATATAATAGAGTTCTGAAAAGCATGGAAATTACTTCACATGCCATATTGACATTAAGCATTTTCAAGTATGAGGAAAAGGTCATATAGATTGAACATGACATATGAAAGTTGCTTTTGATGTTGATCATGTATTCTAAAAGGCTTTGGCATCCCAAATCAATTGATGTTTATGAAAGAACTTATATGTTTTCATGGTGTTACTATGTTTTTTATATGTTCAAAGAGTCATGGAGTGATAAGAATGGCATTTGTCCACTTTTAGAAACATATATGACTTGTAAAAGTGCATAATTGGTCAGATAGGTATCAAGGGTGTTAAATCTTCAACCATAGTTAGTTTTGATGCTTTATATAGATTTATATGTCATAAAATATGTATTAAATCTATTCATATTGGTTGCACTAACTTCTGTATTGATTTGGGTATGATTCGAGATTTCCATAGTTAAATTGTTTAAATAAGATAAACCAGTTATTACGTTTTGATACCTTAGACAATATTATCAATACCTTACCAAATGAATAATTCTAAAAATTTTAATGTGCTTAAATGATATCAATAGTTACACAAGATATCAATAACTAATTATTAGTACCGATAACCTTGTCTATTTTAAAATGGTTGAGAGTAGTTTGGTTTGTTGTCTGTCCCTATGACTTATATCATGAAGGAAATGATTTCTGAAGTCATTAATGATTAACTGTGATATCTATGTTCATATGATTTAATTTTCGTACAGTGATATCACATGTTTGAGTTATCATCTGATCTGAATAAAGGATGTTTTATATAATAATTCTCAAATATCGTACTACTGAAATTTTTACCCTAATTTTAAATCAAGGGAGTTTTTTTTTTTTCCAATTTCTTTGTTGAGAAATTCTAAATCTAATCCTAATCCATTTAGAGAGAAGGAGAAGATGGACTCTTAAGGAAGGAAAGAGAGTGCTCCTAGTGGATCAAATGTGCTTGCTCATATACTTTTTTATTCTTAATTTAATTGGTTTGGTGTTTGAATTGATTGATCGAGAGAAGAGCCCATGTGATTTGGGAGGACTCCATGAACGAATACATGAAGCAATGGACTTCATGGCTTGGCTAGATCAGATGAGGTGCTGCAATTATTGCCCACTTATCCTACATTTATTCAGCTTGTCACCATTCAACATTGAGGTTATGTCTTGTTTCGTTCATGTCCAACCACAAATTAAACTGGGTCTGTTTACTAGATTTCTTAATTATGTAAATTTCCATAATGGTTAAAGAAAGAAAAGTGAAGACAATCTGCATTAAAGCATGGGGCCTTGTGCAAATGTAATCACATGGAGATGTCGAAGAAGGTTTGATCACTCGAGTTGTTGTAATGTTCAAATCTTCATTAACAAATTTGATATTTTGAATCGCAAAGAGATAAATGCATGGAGATTTTCACATGCCCATCTTATCTATTTAGTTCAAATCAATCTATTATTGATATTTTCTTTTTGGAATTAGTAAAGATTTTGTTATACCTCCTCTACACCTTTTGCGCAAACAATGCTATCGCTGATTATTGAACTTTTTAAATTTTATATCTTTAAGAAAATTGTAATCTTTTAATATGATCACTAGCATACCTACATGATCAACTAAATTTATAATATGATAGTTAGATCTATTTAGTATATAAACCTACAAATAGTCATAATCGTCCTAGGCATGACACTAGCATCAAAAGTCTATATAGAAGTCGCCATACAAGATTATAGAAGGGATCTTTTCTCCTCACTCTCCCGATTTCAACTCATCTAAATGTTTATCTTCTCCAAATAATATATTCTGTACTACCTACACTAAATCATCAATAGCTAAAATTCTCCACCCAAATTAAGAAAAATAAACTTTAAAAAATACTATAATTTCATTTATCCCATTATCTGATATGAATTTTGTCCGAGGGTTTGCAAATATAGAATAATCCAATACTAAAATGAGTATGATCCCTATAATAATAAGGGAAAAGATAGGTTTAAAACTATGTTTTCCCTTTATCTTAGACCAATCTTCACGGATTTACACCGCGTATAATGGGACACTACACGTTTATTGTATTATTTAACAAATAACACAAACTATGCTTTCCCTCTAGTTGTGTTTGATAATAATTATGTTAGAGGGAGGAATGAAATTAGTGGTATATTTATAAATAAAATTGTATGTAATGTGATGTGTAAAGTTTGATTTGATATATTTTTTATTAAAAACAAATGTGAAATTCATTTAGTCAGACACAATTAGGGTTGTCAATTCGATCAGCAACCCATTTTTCTCTCATTCCAGTAATCTTTGCGAGTTTGCTCTTGAAGGATTGTGTTCTTGTGGTCTTTGAGTTGATTCGGTCCAAGTGTACCTTCTCGAAATGAAACAAGGTGTATTCTTCTAACGTGGGAGTCATGTCTTCCTTGTTGAAAGTGAAGCAATTATACGCTGGATTACAAAATTGGATAAGAGCTTTGATCAGGGGTTCGTTTACTTTCACATACAACAGAAGGGCTATGTCACCATATTTTTGTCAGAAAGAGTACTTCACATCAGAATTCCAACTCTCCCAAATTCCACATAACTCTTGAAGATCATTTTGCTTTAGACTGGCCGGAGCGACCTCTGGTAGTACCGATATATAATCTTCAATCAAGCTGTCGCCTTTCTTTTCTGAGTTTCCTCGGACCACGACCTCACTTCCGCTTTTATCTATTTCCTTGTTATGAAAGTTCTTATCTATTTTATGACCGCCTTCTACTTTGATGACCATTTCGTGAACCAACACCTTTCTTCATGATTATGATGCAATGCAACAATAATAAATAAAACCCAGAAATACAAACAAAAATAAAACTGCGTTAGTATATCCAATGAATAATCGAAGAACAAAATAAAAACATGAAGATAAAAAATATATACATCATATGCCTTATTCACATGGTATCTACCCATCATGATATCTACCCAATCATACTTTAGTAGATCTTACCCAACATGGTATCTACCCACATGCTTCGTATAAAACCTAACCGCACGTTTTTCTAGTTCTCATACTTCTTGCAAAAATAAATAAATTCGAGGAAAAGGTTAGAATGAGTTTCCCCTTTGTGTATGCGGACAGAGATTCAGCATAAAATGGGCAGAGTTTTGGTATCACTAAAAGGGTTCTCGAATTATCGTTTGCTGGTGCCCCCTTAGGCTTGCCAAACCCTCGATCCTCACCCATTATAGGCTTAAAACGGATCAAGTTCAATTCTAGAGGATACATTTCCCTATGTCCATGCGAGGAAACTCAATGTTTCACTCGTAAACATAAGGCATGTACCCCAGAGGTTACTTGCTAAAGCCCATGCGGAGAAAAGTAATTTTTCTCACGTAAGTGTAGCATTCACCCCTACCTAACGGGACAGAGCACAGTTAGAAGGCTCTAAATATCGAAAGGTTATAGCGACAGTAAGGGGAAACTCATAATCCTTTGCCTCGATTCAAGACAATCAACAAACTAAAATGAAGGTCAAAAAACTAAAACATGGAAATCACACGTTAGTACAACTATTTTTATTCGTTAAACAAATCACAAATTAAAATGCAAAGAAGAAATTCAAAACAAACAAGGGATCAAAAACCAAATTAGAACGAACTTATAATTTTCGTTTGCAAAGACAATTAATTAATCGACTATCGGCCTGACTCTCTAAAAAAAGTTCTCAGTGGAGTCGCCAAGCTGTCGAAACGGTTTTTTAAGCGATAAGTAGTGCGGGGGCGAGATTTTGAAAACCACAAAATTTTTAATTTATTATTTTTACGATTGAATTTTTAATTAAAAACAATGCGATTTAAAAAAGTCTCTCGTCTCGAAAAATTGGAAATTCCTTTACAAATAAAAAAACATGGTTCGAGGAGTCGCCACCAATATTTGATTAGGGTGTGATTGGTCACCCAAAAATGTTGTCATTTTAAATAAAAATTAATTTTAATTAAAACAACAAATTGAGGCATGCGTTATCAAAATCTGAGTTCGGGAGTCGGTTATGCGTGGAGAAGGATTAGCACCCCCACAACGCCCTAAATCGGTACCTAGTCGATTAATTAATGTCTTTGTAACGAAATTTACAAGTTTGAGTTTAATTTGATTTATGATCCATTCAAACAACAAAATGTGGATTTTATATATAATATTCAAAAGCAACGAAATAGGTTAAATTAAAATTACCAAACCATTAGAAAGATAAAGAATACGCGATTATTTAAAAATATTGAGACTAGATCTTTAGGTCAGTTCTAACGACCTTTTCTCAACAAATTTAAATAGTCGAACATTTCTTTTTCTTTTACTCCCTAATTTTAAAGTGAATAATCAAATTTTTTAGTGACAATGACCGGATACACTTGTAATTTAAAATCGTCAAGAACAACTTTCCTGTAAGTTAAGAAAAGTCATTTAGACAATTTTAAATTAAAAGGGTATTACCCTTAATTCGATTATGTAATTAGGTTGAGTCATATACATGAGGCTAACATGCAAATATTAATTAAAAATAATAATTATCTACTTAATAAATATATTAAAAAAATACCAAACAATATACCATCTTAATACAAAAGTTATTTACATGTACTATGTAATTATATATATATATATATTAACATGTAATGCGTAAGTGTGGCTTAAATAAAAAAATAAAACATAAAGTTCCCAACTATGAATTTAACAAATATATATATCTAAAATGATGACCAAATTTCAATAAATATGAAATTAAACATGTAAATTAAAAATAAACTAACGACCCTAAACTATAATTTTACCAAACCTTTTTATATATAAATTAAACTAACCTAAACCTAAACTATTTTCACGCCTAAGGAAAATGCACACAGCCGCATCAAGCTTTCTCCATCTATTCCTCGCACAGCACCCTTCTTCTTCTTCTTTTCATGGTTGTCGCTTCTCTACTTCAAACATCATCGCACCCAACCGGCAACCCAACAACGAAAGAAGCCTAGGCCCTCCTTACAAAATGGTGTTGTCTCTCACCAAATAACCAAAACTACTACTCCGACCATCATCCAAACTGTCTCACGAATGACGTTGGCTCTCACCTTTCAAACCGAGAATTCTAACATTCTTTACTTCGCATTGAAACAGCATTCGACCGGGTAAGTTACCTAATCCTAACCAAAACAAAACTAATACGCAATTTTCATCTAACACCCATTTTTCTATCGTTTGCTTCCGATCTAAACCTTGGGATTACGAAAACGCTAGTGGAAAGCTCAAAGGACTTTCCTCGCCATTCTCCCTTTCACTCTCACGATTAACCTTAAACCATCATGTACACGCCTAACCGAAAAAGGGCTTTTAGTTTTAGTTCATGTGAAGGTATGACTCCAGTGAGGATTCAAGATCCCCTAAGGTAAAAACTAACACCTTCCTCACTCTTATTTTGTTTCTTTTTTAATTTAAAAACCCCACACACATGAAGCTACTGGAAAATTAAAGAAAGATGGAAGATACCTCAAAAACGTTATGGTTTCTATATCTTATATTGCCTTTTTTTTTAATATGGAAGAGATAGTCTCTTTACATTGATTTCAAGAGAGAAAAATGGGAGCCGAGAGAGCCTCCTTCGTTGATGAAATTCCTTTTTCTTCTTCTCGAACGATGCCCTCTCTTTTCGTTTTTTTTATTTTTAGTTTAGAAATTATTAAAACAAATGAAAAAAAATATTAACGTAGTTGCTCTCTATTTGTTGATTGTGGTATTTTTTCCCTCTTTTTCGTATCTCATCGTCCCCTTTTCTATATTTTTCCATCGAATTCTCCTTGTCATCTTGCATGTTAATTTTTTCCACATTTGGTAGTATAATGACAGGTTTAGGTAGAAATCTCTAAATTTTTATGGATTAGGTTGCTTTTTGCTCAATTTTGATGGATGATTGATTGACTTTTTCTTGATTTGGTTCAATGTGGGATGACTTTGCTGCAGGTCCCGTGAAATGCTGAAGATGGCATTATTGGCGTGAGCATGGATCTTGTTCGGTGGGTTTACACTTTGTAGTTTGGGTATCCGAATTTGCTGATTTAGTCTTGAATTGTTCCAAGCCTACTGTAATATGTATTTTTTAATTCGGGCCTAGTTTGGGCTTGTTGTACAACCTGTAAGAAAGAGAACATAAATGATATTAATACTAATATAATTGTTATAATAATAATAATAATAATATAATAGTAATAATTATAATATAATATTTATAACCATGACAAAAACTGGTGTCTGCACATGTTTAATCTGATTCGAGAAGCATATACATACTCCACTTCGACTTGAATTAAGGAGCACATTTACTCCATCTAAACCTCATCCAATACAATTCAAGGAGCATATTCCCTTCACCTGAACTTGATTTAACCAGAATTTTGGAGGTAAAAACTCGCAACTAACCCGGCCATACATAAATATATATAAGATCGTTTTTATTCAATAAAATAGAGATCTAATTAAAAAGTATATAAAAGAAGTATTATGACAATTATCTCTAAAAATACTATTATTCGTCATTAAGTCATATACTTTTAAGTTCGAATCTGGCCATATCAATATCATCGTACAGAATGAAAACTTCATTCTCGATTTTACGAGAATTTTTATGAAAGCCCCTTTCATTTGCTTCTCTTCGATGGAAGTTTTATTTTCTCATAATGCATCCTAATTTTTGGTCTAATTCTTCTTCTGATGATCGATTCAACCTCTAATAAAAAAGATATACCTTGGTCGTATTTAATTTCTTTAACAAGTTTAGAATGAGCATAACGGCCCTATTGTTCCGATGGATAGAAGAACCTATGATTAGTTTTTCGGGAAATTTCCAAACGAACAATTTCAACGAAATCTTTCAAATTTCTTAATTTACTACGTTCAACTTTATGTATTCCTCTATCCGTAGAGTGCATTGAATGTACAGAAATGACTATAGAAAAGTTTCTGTTATTCGTATTAATAGCTACTATAGGAGGAATATTTTTGTTGCTCTGACCCAAATCTATCGATTTCAGATTAAATTATCATTCCTAACTAAGATTAATTGTTGTTGTTATGTTTGTTAGGGTAGTTAGAAAATCTATCGGGTCTTTGTTTGAGTCTGTTGCAAAGCAGGCTTTGTGTACTAGTTATTGTATTGGTCCTAATGACCCATTTTGGTAATCCAATGTAAATGAGAAACATATCAGTTCGTTTTTGTTTTGGTTTTCAACGTGACCATCTTTTATTTCATCGTTATAATCACTTCTATGCTCATTTGTTGTTATCGCCATACGTTCATTATGGTATTAGAGCTTGTTTACAACCGATAAAACCAATCAAAATCGAGTTAATTGATATTCTACTTATTACAAAATAACTACCGCCATTGAAATAGAGTTAGAGAGGCATCTAGATTTTTTCCCCTTAAGTATTAGTTTCTTTACTGATAAGATTTATTCTTTTTTCTAGTCAATAGAAAATTATTCGACTACGAACACTTACACTTGAATCGAGTTCGTCAATTGACTTGTTATGAAGTTTCTAACAGTTCTGTTTAGTGTGACGAGGTTTTTTATATTATGGGTAAAAAAAATCATGGTAGGTCAAATGAATATTATGCAAATAACCTATTGTAACAACAATACTCTTAACAAAAGAGAAATGCGTGACAGGACTATTAGTTAAATCAGATAATCCTGTTGTAATAGCAGAGCATTGTACACTGATGAAATGTTGAGCCACCTGAACGATGACCGGACACTGCTGAAGGACAGCAGCAAACGGAGAAAACCAAAAAGGGCAAATACAAAGGAATTAGGGATTAGGATTATTTACCGAATATAAAATTGATTACAAAAGCTTGTTTAGCCCATTGCAGCAGTAGGCTTATATAGTCCACTAACAACCTGCTAACCGACCAATTGAAGTGCTAACAGAATAATAAATACTAACTATGTAACCCCTAGACCGATGCGGTTAACCCGATCCGATATGGGTTGTCACATTAGGGCCACCGGAGCGACCCACTGTAAAAATAACGTAAAATTTAAAACTTTTTATCAGAACATGTAGACTCATAAAATCATTTATCAGTATTCATAAATAAAATAGATTTTCAGACTCGTATTTAAAACAAAATACAATTACATGCCCCCTAATCACATGTACCATACTCTGCAAACAACACCGGAAGAACTCTTTTACTGAAGTCGATAGATGCACTGGTATGATCCTTCTAACCTGAAAAGGTGAGTAACAGAGTGAGCTTTGGAAAGCTCAGTAATACAGAACTACCAGATGATGCTGAAGAACGTGCAGATACAGATAAACATATATTTCCTTATTAGTTCCGACATCTATAGATTTTTTATGCTGAGTGGAGATCCTACTGATATTTCAGGTGGTAACGGACAATGAGCTTTCAGTTAAGAGAAATATTTCAGATGACTGAGTTCAGGAGATCAGAATAGGTTATCTAGTGTGTTCCCGTAAAACTAATAAAAGATACATATCTTTTTAATATATATATATATATACACCCCCATCCTTTCACAATCTGTTTGTGTAGGTTCCCCAGAATCATACACCCCGCACAACCAGTAAGGCCCTGAGCACACAACCGAGAAGCCTGCAAATATACTTTCTCCAACAATAAACCCCCATATAAAACATTTCTCCGTCAGTAAACGAAGATATCAGAACATAATCCAGATCAGAAATCAAAACATAATTCAAGTAATGTATCAGAACAGAATTCAAGTCAGAAATCAGATAAAATATTTTATGTGATTAGGGAACACACCAGAGTTTATGGATATTATTCATAGGTACATGATAATCTTAACAGGAAGAGACACACGGATCTTCAGTATACCGATAGAATGCCAGAATTTAGAATCACTATTGGAAGAGTTCAATAACTGACGAAATCATCAGTTATTCAGAATATGACTTGAGCTGATAAGGAAGAAATGAAGGTTCAGGACATTTACAATCTGTGTCGATCTATCGAATTTTTGAAATAACTCAAGCTGAACAACTCCCAGAACTAATGCATGTTGACCGGATCATTATTTGTCCTTCAGGTATTCACTCTTTAATACCAACATTTATTGTTCATAAATCATCTCTGAGTCATCGTTGAATGAATCTTCCAATGGTCTTTATTTCATTTCCCCACTTCAACAATATCAGGAAATGCTAATGTACTTGAGTTTTGGTTCATAGCCCACAGTAATGGTGCACTATGTAAACTCATCAGAGTTTTCAGACTTATCCAAATCACTTACTTAATCCTCAGTCATTGAGGTTACTTACTTCATTTAGCAGTCAAGTCCTTTATAGTTACTTTGGGGTTTTCTATAGTAATTCAGACGTTTCTGAATTTCAGATACATATTGTACTTCCGTTCAATTCAATTTGGTATTCGCAGTTGATTTGTCTAATGAATATCCACTTCTTAATATCGAATACGATCTAGAGTTTAGTTGAGCTGAATACTTCCAAAATTATTATCAAGCCACACTTGAGAAGACGAAAACGCATTCAAGTAATATCTATGTCGTTCAAGTATTGATATATCATTAAGATTGATCAACTCACTTAAGCTGTGTTCCTTAACTTTTAAAGGTAGTCCAACACCTATGCTTATTTGGATTCCTTAATTAATCCAATACATTTACTTAATATAGGCCATAAGGGTATTTTGGTCATTTTGGTGTTCTATTTTATTCTATTCATTACAGAGCTCAAAGATATCCCATCATTCCTGAGCTTGGTGTTATTCTTGGGTCATTTCCATTACAGGGGTATTTTAGTCATTTTATAGATCTGGTGTATTTCAGTCCTTTTCTTCCATATGATCTTATTATTTAATTCAAACGTATCATCTTTTTTAGACCTTTCAAACAATTCTGACAAAAAGAGCATCCTCGATAATTTATTCTTAACTCGAAGATTTTCAGGTCAATTGTCTTCCCAAAAGTTACCAACAGGTTATCAGGAATTTTATGTACAAAGACAAATCTTAACAATTAAATCTGTACTTTATCGAGTTAAGTATGAATCCTCAAAGTACTTTCTCATTCACTGTCAACTCAGACTATTTTTACCTTTCAAGGGCATTTTCATAATTTCTTAACCAAATAGTTTCGGTATTATCTCTTAACGAAAATAATTATTGTTTAGAGATTCTATGGTTAATTGCTTTCCCGAACATTCTCTGATCTTGAAACGATTCCTTAACAGACTTCTAGTATCTTGCACAAACCCTTTTGAGTTTAAAAATCGGTTATCCACATTTCCTATGCAAAACTAGCATTTCTTATGCACATCAGTAATTTTTACCGGATCAATATGTCTTTTAAGAGTTATTAACCAACTTCCAGGGACAATTATTGTCATCTTACAACTTATGAGTATTTTCGTAATTTACCCAACCAGAGTATTCTCATAATTTCTCATCCGAGTACTTTTAATTTTCAATCTTTGTTGATATAAAATATAAGTTACAAATCCAGGGCTGATTCCTTTATCACTAATCACAAAACTTGTAATTTAATTCTAACAATCCCTCAATCTCTTATATTAGTCATTCGATCTGTATTCAGTTACCGAATTTCTACCATATTCATATCGAGTGTATAAATTAATCAACTCCACAAAAGTGACCAACATTATCTTATTCATGCATTTACCAATAACAACATGTTCCATAGAGCATAAAATATTATCTCATTTTTCATGCCATACTGATCGACCATATAATTTCTATTCGAATGTCCTCGATCTTTAATTCAACTTTCAATAATTCCTCAGATGCATATCAACAGAAATTACACAAAAAAAGGAGCTTAATTCAGAAAAATGGATCGAATCGGGTGATAAATCAGTTAAAAATAGCTTACAGGGTTCGAATTTGGCAAAACGGACCCCAAAAACAGATTCAAGACGTCAAAAAATATAAAATATGATTTTTCGAAAATTTTAACTTTTTCGGTCAAAGTCAACGGTTAACGGTCAACGGTCAACGGCGATCAACGATCAGTCAACGGTTTTACAAAAATATCACCCTAATCGAAATTAATTACAAATTAGGTACCATTCTATAAATATTTACAAAACTAGCACCCGAGTTTTTTTCACAAATATCACCCTGCGGCTAGGACTTTCCCACGTGCAGGGGGCAGC